CCCAGCAGACCAGGGAGACATGGAGCAGCTTTTCTCACCGCGGAGGACGTGGGTGGCGGAACCGTTGCGCGTCTGGGCGGTCCCACCGCCCGCGTCCTCCACGGCGAGAAAAGCCCCTTTCGTATGTAGGGATCTGACGTAAGTTGGATCCACATAACTCAGGGACTGCCTGTAGTTAACTTGTCAGGAACATTTTATCATATTTATTAATGGTGAAGAAAATGTTGCATTGGCAATCAACTATTACTTGGTTCATGGTACAGACAGCAGCATAACAATGATACTTTAGTTTGTATAGGGATGTGACTCAAGGACTTTGCTATCAAAATCCAATGAAAAAACTTCATCCTGGGAATTTTTAAACAACCTGATCATGGTTTTGGAAGCTCAGCAGTTGAATCTGGGGTGGTAGAAGAGGAAAGGTAAGAGCAATGATTGTAGTGATAGCTGGAAATTGAAAGGGGGAAATCTTGTCTCAGCTGATTTGAACACTAATAAAAGGCTTTTGTTTGATTACAGTGACGGGATAAAGGTTTATAATAGTTTTTATTTTCTGGGAACCAGTGAACCTATTCCTTGTACTGAACAATGTTTTGTAAATTCTGTGAGCAAGTCATAATCACTCAAAAGTTCTGCATTGTACTGAAATGTTCATTATTGCCTACTTAGTCACTACTGCTTTAGCTACTACAGATGGAGATTTTTTTTAAATTCATTTTATTATAAGTTTCACAAATCCCACATTTATGTGTGCAAACCAGCAAAGTACATCCCTGTTTGCATGTGCCCTTAGCACACACAGATGGCCTCAGAATCTGTAAGTCTAGCATGAGTACACATATTTTTGCTACATCTTCCTTTTGCTACATCTTCAGCTTCTATAAGCACACTTTTTTTCCTAATCAGTAGTTAGGAATAAACAGATAAATGAATTGTTTTTGGTTTGGTGGCTAAACTCAGAAAGATTATTTTGGGTCAACCCCTAACAGAATTTTTTTTAAATCAAAACAACTGCCCCCCAATCAAATCCCCACAGATATTTTGGCTTTTTGTTTTCCATTTTGGGTTTGTTTGAGTTATAATAATTATGGAGGGATTTTTAAATATATCTAGCTAAATTAAAAAGAAGGCTTTGATTAAAAATAAAAAATAAAAATCTGTAAGTTTGAAAACCATGAAAAGGGACAATTAGACTTAAAAAAAAGTTTTTTTTCTGATCATAATCATTAGTCATATTCAACTCCAATTCACAGTTTCTGTTTGTCTTAATTATATTAAACTGTATTTTTGGCACATAAAATGATTTTTTTGCCAATAAATTGCCCAGCTCTACTACTTAGTTTTCATTAGAACAACAATATTAATATTAATTTTATCTGACATTTTCATTACAACTCACATTTCAATCTTAATGTCAAGAAATTATAACTTAAATATATGAAATGCATAAATGGAAATAGTTGCTAATACTTTCTGAACTGGGAAATAGAGACAAAATAATTTGTTCTTATAACTGAAACTATGTCACCAATCTTGATGGTTTCCTGAACAAAAAGTACCTGTTGAAATATCCTTTTCAGCTAGCTCGTACTGCTTTAATGTTCTATAAAGGTTTGCCCTGTTAAAGTACACTGCTGCAGAGAAAGGGCAGAGACAAATTGCCTTCTCAAAATCTTCTTTGGCTTCTTCGATCTTTTGTAATAATGTATTTGTAATAGCTCGATTCAGGACTGCAGATTCATTCCTTGGGTCAAGCTGTAATGCCTTGGAATAGTAGGAACTGGCCTGTGAAATATATAAAATGAATCAGAGGGGCAGCCTTGTTATTCTGTAACTTTAAAAGCAAGTAGTCCTGTGGCACCTTAGGCTATGTCTACACAGCGGAAATAGTTCGAGATACCGAATAGCTGTTCTGTGTCTTAAGAGACTATTCCCTTGCACGAGAGTTAAGGGATATTTAGAATAGCACCTTATTTTGAAATTTGGCACTGTGTAGACAGTGCTAAATTTCTAAATAAGCTATTTTGAAATAAGATAGAAATAAGCAATGCAATTTGCATAGCACAAATTGCATAACTTATTTTGAGGTAAGGGTGCTGTGCAGACGCACCCTTGGAAACTAACAAAAATATACAGTATCATGAGCTTTTGTGGGCAAAACACACTTTATCATCTGATGAAGTGGGTTTTACAATGAAAGCTCATGATACTATATAAAATGAAGGCATGATGCACCATGTAAATTTCTGAAATGCTGTATATATTTTGTATTGTGTTAATAATCAAGAGAGCAGAAAACCACAGCATTTATGCAAGAATGGCAAGGCTTTTGCAAAGAGATTAAAGAAATATTCAC